GGTAGAGCTCCGCTTAGATAGCCATATTCTGGCCTCCGCAGGCCGTCCGTGTCCACCCAGCTGGCCCCGCCACCGCAAGCTGTCCCGTGCTGACGCAGCTTGTGACCGGCCTCCCCTTCCGCACACAAGCCATGTGCCCGGTCGCTCTCCTCCTTCAGAGCATCTTGTCGTTTGTTCTGCGTCCTTGTAATTCCACAAAACGTCCCTCTGTCCGTGTCTCTGTCTGTCTCTCTGACTCCCTGACGCAGCCACGCAGCGCCCCAGCACAGAGAGGCTCCACGTTCACCATCACATAGCAGCAAACACGCCCCCAGCACCAAAGCCCTTGGACACAGGTTACAGGGCCGGAGACAATAATATAAGCACTAACTGTTCCTTTCAGTAAACGAATAGAGACTAGTAGGACAATTATCTTAGCTATCTTTGTGTGTGTGTATAATATATATATATATATATATATATTTTCCCCCCCTTTCTTTCTCCTCTCCCTCATCCCAGCTGATTCTGGACCCGCAGAATCCACCCGGCACCGTGCTCCACACCCCAGACCCCACGTGGAGACGTACCATTCGTGTCCCCTTCGCTATTGTAGTCGCTGCTGCTACTGCCAGCTCCTGCTCCTCCTCCTGCTGCTCCTCCTCCTCCTCCTCCTGCTCCTCCTCCTCCTGCTCCTCCTGCTCCTTCTGCTAAGGAACAGACAAGGTGGATTTGAGGGGAACTCACTGGGCAGGGCCCAGGCTCTCAGGCCTCTCACGTGCCCAAGTTGGTCTCAAACTTGAGATCCTCCTGCCTCAGCCTCCTGACCCAACTTAGATTAAAGGACTGCACAGTTGTACATTGCTCCAGTTATTCTTTTCTTTTTTGAATTTTACAGATAATAGAAAAACCAATAAAAATGATACAGAATTTCAAAACAAGATAATAGGAAATTAGCAACAATTATTATATTGCATGCTGTTGTCTTCAAAGTAGTTGATCAGACTCCGAGGTACAGGCATGCAAAATTGGGCAAATAATATAAGCACTAACTGTTCCTTTCAGTAAACCAATAGAGATTAGTAGCACAATTATCTTAGCTATCTTTGTGTGTGTGTGTGTGTGTGTATAATAACATGTATATACATATATATGTGTATACATTATGTATATGCATGTATATATGTGTATATATGTACATATGTAGATATATGTATATAACATATATATGTATATGTATATATTTCCCCTTTCTTCTTTTCTCTCTCCCATCCCAGCTGTTCTTTCCTTTTGAGCAGTTTCTTCCCCTCTCACAATATCTACTGTACCTTTTGGATCTTATTTACTGTTTCACTTTCTCACACTAGCAAGACAATATGGGCTTCAGTTATCCTTTATTCAGATGTGTTTTTTTTTTCCTATAATACATTCAAAAAGAAACTTATATATCTATGCATGTAAACCTTGCAGAAAATATAAGAGAGTGTCTACCTGTGTCAGTAAATATAGATATCTGTGCAAAGGTAGGGAGGCATAAGCGCACACCTCAATATATTCATGTAATGATCAAACATATCTATGTACATGTATACATGATACATACAAAGATATAAATATACATGTGTGCAATATGTGTTCACATACAACTATAAGACTAAATGTGATCTATAAATGGATACAGATATGCATATGTGTGTATAAAATATATATATACATATTAAAAAGTTATCTACAGACAAATGAAAGCATACATCCATATCTAAAGCCATTTATGGACCCAGATGTGGTGGCACACGCCTGTGATCCCAGCATGTGGGAGACTGAGGCAGGAGGATTACCGTGAGTTCAAAGCCAGCATGGACTTCATAGCGGCTTCAAGGCCAGCTTGAGCTACATAGAGTAACCCTGTCTCAAAAAATAGAACCAAAAAAAGCCATTTATATACCATACAAACGTATGTATACACATGGTAGCACCAAGTATGCATATGTACAGCATAAATATATACTTAGACACAAAGATATATGCTTCTGCCTCATACATATATAAAGGTAGATGAATACATGTACATGTGTAAATGTTATGTGCATCAGTATATGTAGACACATGAAGTTGCATATATACTGCCTTACACAAACATATATATATATAAAGATATGTATGATAGTATAGGAAAATAAAACACATATGCATATAAACATAAAGGTATATGGGTAGACAAAGTATGTTATGCATCAATATATCTATGAAGGCAGATATACACTTATAAAATACATATACAAAATATAAACAGTATACAGCTAACATTTTCCTTATCATTCAATCTGAGAAATCCATTTTCTGATCACAACTTTAAAAACATTTCCATCCTTGCTATAGCAACAGTAAATCTGTTTACAGCTCCATACATATATACAAAAAAGTATATATGTATGCATACATACAGAAACTCACTTTAATAAATGATAAAAATATATAAATACATGTTTTATAAAGATATTTATAAACATATATGATATGTTTATAAAGGTATTTGCCTATGTACGTATGCATATGTGCATATATATAATGAATGTATGAACATAATGGTATAATAATGTGTATGTGTTGAATATGTATTGTCCTAGTGAAATATACATGTACATACATAAAAGTATATATCTATGTGTGTATACATATATAAAAGGCATGGATATATAAAGATCTATAAATATATGTGTGATTGATAAGGCTATATAGATATAGCAAAATATAGTCTACATGTGTAAAAGTATATACTTATGTATGTGTATATATATATAAAAGGTATTTATAAAGATATATAAATATAATGTATTTTATAAAGCTGTACATACATATTATTTTAGTAAAGATATGTATCTATGCATGTGTGCATATAAATATATAAAGCTCACATATACATGTATAAAGATAGATGAATATACATATGTTTTGGAAAACATAAACATGCCTACAAGAATTATACATATAGATGTATAAGTATGTATATGTGCTTGTTTGTGGCTATGTAAAAGATTTGTATATACCTAAAGATATGAAAATAGGTATGTGTTTAACACGCTATACATACACAAAAATTTTATATATAAATATATACAGGTATATATGTATATATATGTGTTTACAGAAAAGGCTTGTATATATGTGTATAAATTTATGTAAATATGCATGTTTTATAAAGATATATATACACATAAAAGTATTTATATAAATATGTAATGTATATATCTATCCATATGTTTATATACAAAACGCATGTATATGTGTATGTAAAGATATGTAAATATGCATGTTTTATAAAATATATACACATAAATATATTCATATAAGTATGTAAAGGTGTACATCTATGCATTTGTGTTTATATACAATATATATACACAAAAATTTTATATATAAATATGTACAGGTACAGATCTATGCCTATATGTTTATATATAAAGGGCTTGTATATGTGTATGTGAAGATATAAATATGCATGTTTTATAAAAATGTATATACACATAAAAAGTCTTCATATGAATATATGAAGGTATATATCTATGGATGTGTGTTTGTATACAAATATATGTACACAAAATTTTATATATAAATATGTACAGGTACAGATCTATGCCTATATGTTTATATATAAAGGGCTTGTATATGTGTATGTGAAGATATAAATATGCATGTTTTATAAAAATGTATATACACATAAAAAGTCTTCATATGAATATATGAAGGTATATATCTATGGATGTGTGTTTGTATACAAATATATGTACACAAAATTTTATATATAAATATGTACAAGTAAAGATCTATGTATATATGTTTATAAGAGCCTTGTGTAAATATGTTTTATAAATATATATACACATAAAAAGTCTTCCTATGCATATGCAAAGGTGTGTAATTGTGCACATGTGTTATTTATAAAGGTCTTGTATATACATACGTAAAGATACGTAAACACGTTTATGTTTTCTAAAAATACATAAACACGCAAAAAGTACTCATTTAAATATGCAAAGGCATGCACCTGTGTGTACGCATGCACGTGAGCCATGCATTCTAAGCGTATATGACTACATACTGGTTTATGAAGCGAGGCAGACATAGACGCATACATGTGTCAAGCTCACACTCAGGCATGCGAGGACACAGACCAGCCAAGGCAGTGTGTGCACACTCCGGGGGAAGAAGAGCGTGCCCGTTTTCACAGTAGGCACACGGCAGCACCCTGCGATGCACAGAGGCTACCTTTGGCCGCTGGGATGTCACACAGAGCTCAGTGGAGGCCGTGGGCTCCAGACATTCGCCCCTGCAGCTGGGCACCCCACACCCTGCCCTCTCCGTCCCACCCCAAAGCGGCCCGGACTCCATGTCCAGGCACTGTCCAGGCGGATCTGGTGCAGGCGGCCGGGTTTCCGAGGGGTCCCACCTACCTGCGGGCGGCCTGGGCTTGGGCTTCTGGTGGCCCCCGATCCCATCGCTGGGGTGTCCTGCGGGCGAACATACAGCACAGTCACATGGGGAGCCCTGCACCTCCGTCCCACCTGCATGTGCACAGGAGCCTGTGTGCAGGGCAGCGGAGGGAGCACACACACACACACATGCACACACCATGAGCTGCGGCCCCAGGGCCTTTGCACGGCCTGTCCTGCCTGAACCCCTGGTCCACCCTGCTGCCTCAGTTTCCCTGTCCTGCTGGGAGCCAGGTGTCCAGCTGTGGGACACTCCTGACCTCAGCACGGACCGTGGCTGACTCCCCAGGCCAGATCTGCGATCCCTCATTCCCTCTGCTCTGTCCCCTTTTTTACCTCAGCTCCTCGAGCTCCAAAATTGCATCAAAATAGCTCCCTCCTGCCTCTGTCTGCATCCCAGGGTCAGGGTCAGGTGACAAGCTGGGTATGCAGTCTTACACATCTGCAACAGACTCCTAAATATCTACCCATTTTCCGTGTGTGTGTGGTACCCGGCATCCTTTGCATGGAGATCCATCCCCACCCTCTACTACTTTTATTTTTATTTTCACACAGGGTCTTGATAAGTTGTTTAATTGCCCAGGCTGTGCTTGAACTTGCAATCTTCCTGCCTCAGCCTCCCAGAGCACCACAAGCTGCCCCAGGACCTTTGCACATGACATTCTCTTTCCACTAGCTACATTCTCGGGCACATGCAATTCCTCTTCTGCACGATGCCCCCTCAAACTGTCTGTGACTCTGCTTGCAAGCAAATCTTCACCAGATCCACCTGCTCCACCGTGGTCTAGAACCATGAGACCAAGAAAACACCATGGACTTCCATGCACCACAGTGGGAGAGCTGCACCCCTGTGGACAAGCTCTCGCCAGCTTGTCTGCCTGCGCACACGTGCCCGGAGTCCGGGGTCGTGCACACTCGTCCCTTTATAGCTCTGCACACCTCTCCCAAGTGGTGGGATCCCAGGTCCCAAGCTAGACCAGAAGTGCTGTAGGCAGAGGCAGGAGGCCTCCCGCACGTCTTGCAAGAGGAAAATGAAAGACAGCGGAACATCTGCTGAGGGTAGAAGATGCTCCCCAAGACGGGGACGGTGAGAAGTTGGGGACCTTGAGGCAAAGCACCGACACACGGCACTTAATGGAAGTGAGGCTGCACCTCCTCACGCGTTTAGGAGCTGCACTCCAGGGCCGGCTGGTGTTACGGCTTAGATTTAGAAGGTCCCTCCAAAATGCCATGTGTGTGTAAGGTGACCGGATCACGGGGTGCTGTGCTCCTCAGTGGATCCGTCATGGGTGAGCTCCTGGCTGACTGTGCTGCAGGAGGCGGGACCTGGGTGGAGGCGGTCACCGGGGTGGGGCCATGGACTGCGCCCTCTGCAACCGTGAGCCTAATCAACCCTCTTCTGTGGGTGCTGGGTGTCAAGTACTGTGTCTCAGAAACAACGAAGCGCTAAGGCAGTGGATGAATCCACAGCAGAACGTGCTATGGGAGGCGGGACCTGGTTGGAGGCGGTCACTGGGGTGTGACCTGGAAGGGTGAGTTCTTGTCCCCAGCTCCTCCCTTCTCTCTCTGCTTCCCAGCCACCATGATGTGAGCATCTTTCCTCCCCCACGCCCATGTGCCATGATGCTCCTGCCTTGGAGTAGCCAGCCATGGACTGCACCCTCTGCAACCGTGAGTCAAAAATAAATCTGTCGTCCGAGCCAGAGACGCCGTGACAGAAAGCCTCAGTGGGAGAAACACGCTCAGACTGACCTTCCAGGGGCACCAGCCAGGAACTCACTCCCTGCAATGCACTAACCCATCACGGGAGCACAGTGCCCTTAAAAGCTCACCACCGTGCCCCGGGCTCCCAGTCATCAAGCTGACAGCTCAGGGAAAGTGGTGCAGAGAGCTCTACACTGTTAGCGTCACGGCCCTGCGCACGTCAGAAGCAGTCACTGCATCGGCCCCAAGCCTGGGATGCCAGGCTTTCCATGAGAGGCCGTGTGTCCCGGCGCTGCTGCGCGTCAGGCCAAGGACTCACCTTCCTCTTTGCCACTATTGTCTGACTGCGCAGGCGGCTTTTGCAGTGAGGGCACGCCTGTCAGGAAATAACAGGAGGGTTTCAGGGAAGCGATGACAGCGTTCAGTGAAGGACCAGGTGTGCAAGAAAAATACCAGAATCCCCGAGAGAAGGAAAAAGAGACAGGGGGATGGAAGGAAGGAAGGATGGAGGAAGAGAGGGAGGAAGAAGGAAGGAAGGGAGGAAGGAAGGGAAAATGGAGGGAAGGAAGGAAGGATGGAAGGAAGGAAGGAAGGAAGGAAGGAAGGAAGGAAGGAAGGAAAGAAGGAAGGAAAGGGAAGGGAAAATGGAAGGAAGGAAGGATGGAAGGAAGGAAGGAAGGAAGGAAAGAAGGAAGGAAGGGAAGGGAAAATTGAAGGAAGGAAGGAAGGAGGGAAGGAAGGAAGGGAAGGGAAAATGGAAGGAAGGAAGGAAGGAAAGGAAAGGGAAAATGGAAGGAAGGAAGGAAGGAAGGGAAGGGAAAATGGAAGGAAGGAAGGATGGAAGGAAGGAAGGAAGGAAGGAAGGAAGGAAAGGAAAGGGAAAATGGAAGGAAGGAAGGAAGGAAGGGAAGGGAAAATGGAAAGAAGGAAGGAAGGAAGGGAAGGGAAAATGGAAGGAAGGAAGGAAGGAAGGGAAGGGAAAATGGAAGGAAGGAAGGATGGAAGGAAGGAAGGAAGGAAAGGAAAGGAAAGGGAAAATGGAAGGAAGGAAGGAAGGAAGGAAGGAAGGGAAGGGAAAATGGAAAGAAGGAAGGAAGGAAGGAAAGGGAAAATGGAAGGAAGGAAGGAAGGAAGGAAGGAAGGAAGGGAAGGGAAAATGGAAAGAAGGAAGGATGGAAGGAAGGAAGGAAGGAAGGAAGGAAGGAAAGGGAAGGGAAAATGGAAGGAAGGAAGGAAGGGAAGGGAAAATGGAAGGAAGGAAGGAAGGAAGGAAGGGAAGGGAAAATGGAAGGAAGGAAGGAAGGGAAGGGAAAATGGAAGGAAGGAAAGAAGGAAGGAAGGAAGGAAGGGAAGGGAAAATGGAAGGAAGGAAGGAAGGAAGGGAAGGGAAGGGAAAATAGAAGGAAGGAAGGAAGGAAGGAAGGAAGGAAGGAAGGAAGGAAGGAAGGAAGGGAAGGGAAGGGAAGGGAAAATAGAAGGAGGGAAGGAAGGAAGGAAGGGAAAATGGAAGAAAGGAAGGAAGGATGGAAGGAAGGAGGGAGGGAAAATGGAGGGAAGGTAGGAAACAGAGAGAGAGAAAGAAAGAAAGAGAGAAAGAAAGAAAGAAAAGAAGTAAGGAAGAAGGACAGAGCGAGCAATCCCCCACACAGTACCTAGCTTTCTGCAGAGCTGCGTGGCTGTGGTTTTTCATACCGCTAACCCACACATCTGACATGTGCATCCACAGCTCAAGGCTTAAAGCTTAAAGCAAACTTTTACTTTTGTGTGCTCGATCCATCTGCCTTTTGCTCATGACCAGAAACAACAACAAAACACTTTTGCAAATCCCTGAAATTAGTGGGGCCGCTGTGCTGCAGGTGACGCCATTACACACAACGTCTGGGGAAGTTAGACCTGCAGGGACTGTCCGCAAAGTGCAGTCAGCAGGAAGGAATGGGGACATCGCTCCCTTTTTCTACATCTATGTTTCTGAGTGTATGTTTACCCTCCCATTCCTTCGTTTTTGTTTTTCTGTCTTTTTGAGACAGGGTCTCACTATGCAGTTCAGGCTGGCCTTGAGCTCACCTTGCAGCCCAGGCTGGTCTCAAACTCAGAATGATCCTCCTGCCTCAGCTTCCCGAGTGCTGGGATTACAGGCATGCGCCACCATGCCTGGCCCCCCGTCTTATTTCCAAAAGCTCTATCTGCATTTCCAACGATCTGTGCTGCACTTTGCTTTTTACTGATGCTTTGTGCTTCTCGTACAAGAGCCACCATGTGCCTCTGAAGCTTGTATGTCTGACTGATTTCACGGAACAGCCTGGTCTCCAGGTGCACCCATGCTCCTACATATGACTCAAGTTTATCCTTCTTCATGGCTGTGTAGTACTCCATAGTATGTAAACACTGCATTTTTCGTATCCATTCATGTATTGATGGACTTATAGGCTACTTCCAATATTCTGCTATTATGAGTTGTGCTGCTCTAACACGGATGTGCATTTTTAAAAGTTCTGTCACAACACCCTTACCCTATGTGCACCATGACCTGTTGGCCCCAGGCCCTTTGCATGTGACATGCATTCTGCTACAATCACCTTAAGCTCTCTGCACACATTAAAGGACTCAGTTATGTCCAGGCACAGCACCCCTCAGGCTTCCTGTCGTCCCATGCATGAGATCTACACCAACACCTGAGGTGCCACAGCCCAGGCAAACTGAACAATCCCACTCAAAAGCACCTACAAGGTGTGCCAGTGCACCCCGTCCTCCCAGCAGAGGAGGCGCAGCACCCGGCGCTGCACGCGAGGAGCCCCGGGAACCAGGCGCTGCCCGCGCCAGACTGAAGCCAGACCGCGCAGTTCGCACGCGGGGTTCCTGCCGCTCAGCCGGGTTCTGCGGAAGCCGGGCTCGAACCGGGGCAGGAGGGAGCGTCGGGCCATCAGATTCTCCCGGGGAAGCTCGCAGGGACCACTAGGACCCCCAGGCTGGCCTCCATTCTCGGGCGACCCTCCTGCCTCTGCGTCCGGACTGTGGGGATAGCAGGCATGCGCCACCACGCACCAGGGGCACGCTTACCATCCTTACCTCCGCCACCACCGGAATTTCCAGGCTTCGGTTGAGAAGGCAGCTTCGGCTCAGGGAAGAGGGCTGCAGGGCGAAGGGAGAGCGCGGCATCAGCGGTAAAGACTCCGCTGTCCGGGGCAGCCCGGGCCACGAGCTCATCGAGGCGATGGCCGACTGCTCGGGCTGCGGGCGGCCGCGGTGCCCCGAAAACCAGAGCCCGGCGCGGCCCGGTGAGATCCGCACACCCAGCCCTGTCACGCTGCCCGGCTAAGGAAGGGAAACTGCAGCCGAGGTGGGCATCGGGGTGGAGAAGCTGGGACCAGAAATTCCACCAGATCCAGCTGAAACACAGTCTTCCCGAAAGAGTTGAAGACATCGGACCGCAGGGACCAGTGCACACCCGTGTTCACAGCCGCACAGCTCACAACAGCCAAAAAGTGAACACAGATCAATGGAGGAATGGATAAATAAAGTATGTTTACACACCATGGAGTACTATGCTGCCACGAAGAAGGACAAACTTGACTCATGTGTAGGACCACGGACACACCTCCAGACCATAATGTTAGGCGGGACAAATCACACACGCAAGCCTCAGTATGTGTCACAAACATAGACTCACAGAAATACATGTGTATACGCCATACAAATAGCTCAGCAAAAAGGATGGAACCGGCCATCCTCATGCTGAAGAAAATGAGTCCGTCTCAGGAGACTAAAACTCACATGTTTTCTCTCATGGGGGGATCTCAGGGAGATCAATGGAACAAGCAAATCAAAACAGGGGTGAGGAGAAAGTAGGGGGAACCACAACAGAAGAGTCAGAGGTCGGGACAGGAAAGGGCAGAACAAGGGTTGTTTGTGCAGTGTATGTTAGTTACACGGAGTGAGGGATTTCACCTCCGCACATTTGTAGCAAACTACAGCTTGCACTGCTGTTGTTGCTGTTCTTGTTTTTGTTTTTTGTTTGTTTTGTTTGTTTTGAGCTGGGATCTCGCTACGTAGCCCAGGCTGGACTCGAACTCATGCTGACCCTCCTGCCTCAGCCTCCCAAGTGCTTCGATGACGGGTATAAATAGATAGAAAACAGATACACTATGTGTGTTTCTGTGTTACCGTGTGAGCTCAGAGTTCACATTCTTGATTCATTCAAGATCCCCTCGTGTCGCACTAGATTCAGATTACCAGAGGTAGGAATGCAAGATTGATCAAATCATCGAAGAGAATAAAACATAATTTAAAAAATTAGAGATGACACAGAGCTTCACCAAGAAGATATTGTTTTTGCTTTGTTTTGTTTTTGTCCATGTTGCTGTTATTTTATTATTCTTTTTAAATTCTCTTTATAATACATTCACCATGTTAGTTGGGTTATTATTCTTCATATTTAGATCTTTTATTTATTTATATTTTTGGTGCTGGGAACTGAACTTAGAATCTTGCGCTTGCCAGGTAGCTGTTTGTGCCACTGAGCTATATCCCTAGCCCCATATTTAAATCTTAAGCCTGCCATGTGTAATTCACATTGTACCCTGTAAATGTGTATTTACTCCTAAAATAGTCTTAATCATATTTTCTTGGTAATACTCTGTATTATCGATAGTATTTTATTTTTCAGACTATTTTCATGTTTGTTCGCAGTAATTAGTATCATTTTAGTATTCTTTATCCCATTCTTGGAAATATTTTCATTCTTAATATTTTTCTTCATTGTTTAAGTCTCAATATTTATTCATAATATTTTCATAATATTTATTCTCACAATTTTCTTGTGAATTCTTAATGTTTATTCTAAATATTAATATTCTTAACAGCATCCTCATGCACCCTTCCACATGGATTCCCTTGGGGCTCTGGGTTCTGGCCCACAGCGCTACAGAAGGTCCTATCCTGGACCCACTGCCTTTACTAAAATCTCATCATTCACCACTCTGCTTAATCATGTAGAGCTCAAAATATCCCAGATTTGGTCTCGTGTAAGAAGAGCCATATTGAAGGTTGTGGTTCTGATTTATTTCACTGAACAACATGATTGCATAGAGCATCCATTTTCCTACGTGTGACTCAAGTTTACCCTTCTTCAGGGCTGCATAGTACTCTGTGGTGTGTAAACAGCACCTTCTCCTTATCCATTCATCGGCTCATGGACACACAGGCTGCTTCCAGGGTGTAGCTGCTGTGAATTGTGCTGCTACAGACACGGGTGCGGTTGGATCCCTGTCCTGTGAGGCTCCCGTCAGTGAACAAACACAATGAACTGAAGCAAAACTCACAAAGTATAGTATTAAAACAAACTCAGTTTTACACAAGTAAGTCAGTACCCTTTAGCCCACTGACAAGACTGTGCAACCAACATCTCCACCCCACCATAAGGAGACCCCACACCCCACAGAGCTCACGCCCCACTCCAACCACCAGCCCCGGCAGCCCCAAAGCACTTTCCCTCTCGGTGGATTTGCGTGCTCTGGACATTCGATATCAACAGAATTGCACTGTGTGTGTCCTTGGGAATCTGGTTTCCCTAAAGGTGAAATCCTTGAGATTCGTCCATGTGCTAGCAAGTGCCAGCCACTCATTCATTTTCAGAGCTTCATAATATTCCACTGTGTGGACAGCCTGTGTATTTCTCTATCTCTTTATCTGCTAGTGGCCACTTGGGCTGTTCTCATGTTTCGGCTGTCGTGAATATAGTGCTGCTGTGAGCGTCCACGTGCAAGTTTGCTTTGAACACGTGTTGTGCTTTGGCGCTGGACAATCATATGGTCAGTCTATTTACTTGTTTTTGAATTTTTTGAGACAGGGTTTCACTATGTAGCCAAGGCTGGCCTCAACTCACAGCGATCCTCTTGCCTCAGCCTCCTGAGTGCTGGGATGACAGGTGTGCACCACCACCCCCAGCCTGTGTTATTTTTTTCCTAGTTCATGAAACACTTCCCATGGCGCCATCTTGATTTCCACCAGCAGAGTAGGAGGACTCTGCTTTGCTCAGTACTCACAGCACTGGCTGATTTTCATGCTTTAAATATTAGTGATCACAGCAGTTGGGAGGTCCTGCACTTCCCACGGCACACCCACTAATTAGCCTGTGTCTTTTACCTCCATAAGAACTCTTGACCCCCCCAAACAGCCCTACCCAACCCTGAAAAGGCAGCAGGGCCTGGAGTGCCTCACAGGTAGGCAACCCACCCTCACTCACCTGAGGGTGGCTTTTTGGTGGGTTCTGTGAATTAAGAAAGAAAACAAATCCAGTTAGCACCAAGGATGCAGTGGCAACTCCGATAAAGGCTCCCAATTTTTAAAAATGAAAAAAAATGGCAAAGCAATATCCCTTAACAGCACCAAGACAACTGGATAAAGAGAACATGGTTTGTATGAGAAATGGAGTATTACGCAGCCATAAAGAATGAAAACTTCTCACTGGCAGCAAAATGGATGGATCTGGACAATGGCATGGTGGACAAAGTGAGCCAGGGTCTGACTTGTGAGGGAGCAAGTGTAGGATGTGGGCGTGGGGTGGTGGAGTTTACATAGCGGTTTGGACAACACAAAGGGAGGAGCCGGACATGCCCGCTTTCTTTCCATGCACACCGCCCTGTGAATGGAGCAGGGGGCTGGATTCTGTCTGCATCTTAGCGCAGCAAAGTGGGGCCCCAGAGCGGATGATAGGAAATTCCAACCCCCGCATCCCGGGCCGCCAGCTCCCAGCTCAGACCCACCCAGCAGGGAGGCGCTGGCGGCCGCCAGCAAGCTCGTGGCTGAGAGTTTGAGGGCGAGGGAGGCACGGACACCCCACACTACGGACTCCCCAGATGTGCCCCGCCCGACCCAAAGCCGCCATGACGCTGCCCTGCCTCGCACCAGTGCTGCCCCTAAAGCCTGGTCACTCACCGGGGTCGTCCAGCGCGTCTGCCAAGTCAAAGTCTCTCTGACCTGTGGGAACAAACAACAAGATCTCAGCATGAGAGGGGACGACGGAAGCGGACAGAGGTGTCCTGGTGCACCCCTGCCCGGCTGGTTGCTCCGGGTGCTGGATTTGTAACCTCTTTCCTCTCATCTCCCTGGCCCCAATCCACAGCCAGGCCCCAACTCTGAGAGCTCCTGAGCCCCTACCAAAGGCGCTGGCAGAACTCGCATCCACGGCCTGCACGGGACGTGGTTTCTTCCCAGCTCTGCTCTCTCCTTACCGAGCAAAACACATGCAAGCAACCAAGCATACGCCAGAAATATTGAAAGAAAAAGACAGCCCATGTGCACCGAACATGCAGAAGCTGTTTTCTCCCCACTGTTCCTTAAATGTTGTAATTATTAACACAGCATTTGCACTAAAGCAGATATTATGAAAAGCATGATTAAAAACTATGGTAAATGTTTGAAGTTTTGGGAAATATTACAGTAAAAAGCACAGCACCGGGAATCCCCTTGAAATCCTCCCGGCTTTGCACATGTTCATCCCACCGTCCTGGCTGCTTTCTGCAGCAGCTCTGGAGTCCTCTTTCCTGAGGGTCTTTAGCTGCGCTGTCCTGGCTGCCTTGATGTCCTGAATGGACACAACACGCTGACCTTTCCTGGTCATTTTGACCTTGAGGAGAGGCCGGAAGTTGCTCAATGACAGATCCAGTGACTACGCTGGACAAAGACACAGCGTCGTGTGCTTAGGAGCTGCCTATTTACTGGACGGTGCTCAGCGGCAGCAGTCACCGGGTTTTTGATCCCACCTGGGAAAGACCCTCAGGAAAGAGGACTCCAGAGCTGCTGAGGAAAGAAGCCAGGACCGTGGGATGAGTGTGTGCAAAGCCAGCGAGCATTTTGAGGGGGATTGCAGTGGTCTCTTTTACTTTTTATTTTGAGATAGTCTCACTAAGTCCTTAAATGCCCAGACTGGGTTCATACTTGAGATCCTCCTGACTCAGCTTGCCAGAGTGCTGGGACTGCACAGACTGTGGTGCCTGAGAAGAAGCCCTGGGACCACCTCCTCAGGATTCTTCCAGACGACAAGCCCGAGCAGGCAGTTTCTCTGCGCCAGGTCCCAGTGCCACTGTCTTGGGCTCTTTCATCTCCCGTCCCTCCCATCCAGCCAGGACATTGCATTTCCAAGATGCACATTTCCCAGGTGCAGAAACTGGCGCTCTGGAGCGCAAGGCATAGACGGACCCAGCATTTGCACCGGGCTTTCAGGACAGCGGCACACCCACCCAGAGCACCCTCAAACAGGCTGTGCCTGGGGGCAGCCAGGGAGCTGAAGGTGCTGGGCCTCCCAGAGCCACGGCCATGTTTGCTCGGCTTGTTCTGCGGGAAGGTCTGAGCATGCTGTGGAAGGGGTAGATCCCCTGAGGAAGGACATTGCAAACTGCCCACATGACCAGGTGTGCTGGAGGCTGAAGCAGGTGGTGCCTTCACAGATCACATCTAATGCAGCCATTTCTTTCAAACTAGAAGGCCGGGCTCCCCTGTGTGCCCTGCCTGTGGTCCTAGGAGCGTCATCATGAAGAACCACCAAAGCCCTTTCTCCCCACTCCAGCTCTTGAGCCGAGGGTACAGTTCAATAGAGCTACTAGACAGGAAGTGACATCACTTCCCGAGTTCCTCCACACAGGAAGTGACATCACTACCTGAAGTCCACCGTACAGGAAGTGATGTCACTTCCTGAACCACCAGACAGGAAATGACATCACTTCCTGAATTCCTCCAGACAGGAAGTAAGGCCAGCTTCCAGAAGTCCTCCAGATTGGAAAAGGGATCAGTTTCCTGGATCCCTTCAGGATGACCCACTCCTTTCTGTGCACTCACATGCCTTCCATGCCCCCGACCCACTGATACCCACTCATGGCCCAAAGTGAGTCACTCTCCCTCATACACAAAGCTTGTGAATGTGAATTCCACTCCCCTTTGCATGCACCATGCAAACACCTGTCGCCACTCCGCACCCTAACCCTTCCCAGCGACATGAGGTGCGTGTTGAAGCAGCCGCCTCCACGTTCGGCAGGAAGCCATCCGTTGGCCTGTGTGCCGCATACCCTGAGGCCCCTGCTGTGCAGGATGGCTTGGGAGAAGCCGGGTGTGGTAAGAAAAGACGGTGAGGTCCCCTGGGAGCGTCCAACGTGGAGTAGGACCCCAGCCCGCCAGCTTCTGCACAGCAGCAAACAAGAATGGACAGGCAGACAGCACGGCCCCAACTTGCTCTGGAACTGAGCAGCTCTGCGCCCCTGGATATTTTTCTTTTTTGAGGTGCGGGGGTTGAGCCCGCGGCTCTCCCACTGAGCTTGATTTTTATCTTCACACAGAGTCACGCCAAGTTGTAGGTTGCATAGGCAGGCCTGGTACTTGCAACCTCCCTGCCTCAGCCTCCTGGAATATGACAGGCGGAAGCCTCCACCTTGGGCTCCAATTTCTTTTTTAAGCAACCCCTCCAGCTTTGACCTGCTGCGGCTGACCCTGCAGGTGTGCCGGGAAGAGGGTGGCAGGGAGGAATCCAAGGCTGGGTGCTTTTAGGGTTTCCCTGGTTTTGTGACTGGCACGCAGGCGGGAGCTGCGGAGTGCGTGGGACTGGGTGGGTCTCACAAAGACCTGGTTATAAGAACCCAGGCGGGGTGGACAGCAGCCAGGACCAGGCAGCCCGGGATCACAAGGGCCTTTGTCATCCTACAGAGAGGTAGGAATTTGCTCCGGGGCGTAGGGGCCCGTGCTCTCCACAGCGGAATCCAGGGAGCTGTTACCAGGACTCCTAAGAGCTTCAGGATCGCAAAGTAGCCCAGCACACGGTGCTGATTCTGGCAGCGCGGAGCCCAGACGGGGGGCGCCCGGCCGCTCGGGAGGTCATTGCTTCGGGTGCAGTTATTTTGCACACAGAGCAGGCGCTGGCTAGGACAGAAGCCTGTTCCTCACTTGCTTTTCCTTGGCTGAGCACGCTCTCCGTGGTGGCTGTTAACCAGGCCCTCGTGTTCCACGATCCCTGCACGGCTGGAACTCAGAAAGCACCGCTCGGGTTCTTGTGGGTCCCCCAGGGAGACGGGCTTAACCTCTTCCTGCAGGTGGGTGGACAAGCCAAGCTTCAAAAAAATAAGATGTCGCCAAGACGGGTCCTTCAGGGAGCTGAGACCGGCGGGCGTGCGCCGCTCCCCGCTGTAAGCACATCCTTCCCACGTCCCAGTCCTACTCCTGCCAGAACCAACGCGGCTCCTGCTGCAGTTTGCTGTGCCCTGAAATCCTTTCCTTTCTGCAAATGCAAGCGCCAGGACAGCAACGACCAACTTTACAAAGCAAAGCTCGGAGATGGTGTTCGAATAATAATAATCATAGGGAGCTGCACTGGGTGCTTATGGAAGAGATTACCCCGCCCCACCGGGGAGAGAGCACAACTGTTTACCTCCATATAAACATGAAGCAGCCTCAGGCAGGCTCTGAAAAAAAGAGGGGGCAAAGGAATAAAAAAGCACACAGGGTCTTTCCAAAGCAATGGCTCGGAGCAGAGCGAGGGAAGCAGAATTGAATTCCAGTCTACCGCATCTGCCCCATGGTAAACACAGGCCAGGCTATTGTGTTTGTCAAAGCCTAGAGAAACATCTGCCCTCTCCTCAGCGCTGGTTTCCCGTTTCTTTACAGAGGATTGTGTGCGTTTCCCGGGAAGCAGGGGTTAATCCCAGCCAGCCTCGCCGGGGTGAGCGGCGGTCACTGGAGACACTTCTCTTCTCAGCCCCAATTCATCTGACCTCGATGAAGTTTTCCAAGGAGAGGGGACCGGGAATCCACAGAGCGGCCCCAGCGGTTAGCGGACCTGGACTTTCTTCAAGAAAAATTGTAAGGCCTTCTGACGAACCTGCTTCAACTGTTTAAAAGATATATGCAGGGAGTGGTGCACATGCCTGTGATCCCAGCACTTGGGAGGCTGAGGCAGGAGGATCGCTGGGAGTTTGAGGCCAGCCTGGGCTACAGAGTGAGACTGTGTCTCAAAAGTGCATAAATTAAAAAATGAGAAATAGATGGAAGGAAAAAGAGAGACAGAGCGAGTGGAGGTGGGTGTACGGGGAGTGCAGGATACTTGCTCTTTTCCAGGTTGGCACACAGAGGAAGGATGGGGACCGTGAATCATTTACAATATTGAAAGCAGCAAGTGGGAATGACAGGGTCCGTCCTAGTGGGGAAGCCCATTACGGTCGGGTGTTGGGGTTTCTGTCTCCAAGAAATGAAAGCACACATAACTAAAGACACCGTGGGGTTCTCCTTTGTGTCCATCACAAGTGGAGACCCTGCGGGGTGCTGTGCTACCCAGGCACCTCCACAGCCGTGCTCTGCAAGATCGTGGTCATGAGCTCAATGAGCCCAGAGGGCCTCTCTGGAAGAACTGTGTACAGATGCATGACTGGTGGCCCTAGGCCCATAGGAGAATGCTCTCAGGCTAGGGACTTCTTTCTCCACACGCGTAGACCCTAAAGGGCACGAGAATGGATTCATCGGCTTTCGCATTGCTGGGGTGAAGTCCTGGGCACCCACAACTGAAGGAGGAGAGGGTTTTATGGTTGCAGAGGGGGCAGTCCATGGGAGCATAGCTTCAAGGCAGAAACATCACGGAGGACAGGCAGATACACCCAGAACGGAGTTTCACTAAGCTCCTGGGTGTCTCTCAGGCAAGCCAGTTGTCCATCAAGATAAACCACGAGAACTTGTTACTCTTTTTTTAAAATCTTTCACCTCCACAGCAGCCATCCTAATGGATGTGAAGTGGTCTTTCCTTAAAATTTTTGATTTTTCCTGTTGTTCACAAAAATGACATTGACTATTTTTGACCTATTTCTTGGGCATTTGTCTTCTTTTGAGAAGCGTCTCTTCAAAGCCCTGAACCACACTCTTTGTTTCGGGTCCTAGTGTAGCTTTTAGGATTTCTTTACGTGCTTTATAGATGAACCCCGGGAGATGGTTACTTTTAGTATCAACTT